GTTGGGGAAACCAGCCCAGCCCCAGGTCCTAGACCCCGCTCCTTCACAGACCTCAGAGGCACCCCAGGCAAAGCAGAGCTCAGCGAAGGCAAAGGGAGCAGTGTTCCCTCTAAGCTGAGTTAAGTGTGAGCCAGCTCACAGTTTTTCAGCCTCCGGCTCACGCAGTTTTGTCTTCGCTCAGGAAGGGACGGCTCCAGAGCAAACTGATCGATGCAGTTGCCAAATGGCTCGCTCACAACTTTAAGGCCGGTAGCTCAAAAAGCAGAATTTTTGCTCACAAGACCCCGCAGCTTAGAGGAAGCATTGAAAGGGAGTCCTCCCCACGCACACCTCAGCTGCGGGCCACAGGCTGAGACCCAGCAGAATTCTTCTAGGAATAATGATGTTTCCCCCGATTAAGGAAGAAACGGCCATGGGGGAAAGGACCTCTCTTAGCAGAATGGGTCTGCAGCCATGTTCCCTCTGAGCTGAGTTAGTGTGAGCTAGCTCACAGTTTTTTAGCCTCCAGCTCACAGATTTTTGTCTTAGTTCAGGAAGGGATGGCTCCAGAGCAAACTAATCTATGCAGCAGCCAAATCGCTCGCTCACCACTTTAATGCCAGGAGCTCACAAAGGAGAATTTTTGCTCATGAGACTCCACGGCTTAGAGGGAACATTGAAGGATCTGGCCTTTGGGCTTCGGATCTGGGAGATACCTGGAGGGGAATCTTGTGGGAGAGGGGGAGGTATTTGTGGGTTTCCTGCATTGTGCAGGGGGTTGGACTAGATGACCCTGGAGGTCCCTTCTGACTCTATGATTCTAAGATTCTGTGATTCTATGAGCTCCCCGTTGCTGTTTTCCCAAGAACAGTTTGAACGAAAAGCCTATCAGGAGGAGCTGCTGGATGACCTTGGGCAAGCCATAGTCCTGTCAGAGCTGTCCTTGAAAAAGAGCAGTTCCTGTCAGAGCTCTCTCGACCCCACCTGCCTCGCAGGGTGTCTGTCATGGGGAGGGGAAGGGAAAGGAGTTTGTAAGCCCCTCTGAGACACCTTTAGGTGGTGAAGGGCAGGGTATAAATCCAATTTCTGGCCACTGTGTGACACAGAGTGTTGGACTGGGTGGGCCTTTGGCCTGATCCAACACTGGCGTCTCTTCTGTTCTTACGTTCAATCTCCTCCTCCTCTTCTTCTGCCAGTTCCCCTCCATCACCAATAGGCCTGCAGAATACTGCACATCTGGCAAGGGGGTGGGAACCGGTCGAGGGCTGTGCTTGGCCGACCTCAGGAGAACCGAAACTGAGGCTCATGCCTCCTTGCCCCCGCCCACCATGTCTGCCCCCAGAAGGAACAGGGGGCCGCTCATCTTCCACCCTGACCTGGACGGCCCAGAGCAATCCTGATCGCCTCAAACCTCAGCAGCCAAGCAGGGTTGTCAGCCCGAGTTCAGGTCTGGATGGGGGCCCACCAAGGACGTCCAGAGTCTCTTCGCAGGAGCAGGCAACGGGCAAGGTCCCTCGCCTGGGAAACCCTGCGGGGGTTAGGGTTACCATAAGTTGGCTGAGACCTGATGCGGGCCCGTAGCTACAGTGGGGCATATTGGGGCTAGGCCCCCTGACTGACTGGCAAGGCCCCACGACTTTCTATCCAGGGCCCCCAAACTGTAGCGGGGGGGAGCCGGGTACCCCTTTAATTTGATTAGACACTGCCCCCTAAGAGGAGGAGGAGGAGATTGGATTTATACCCCTTGCCCTTCACTCCCCAAGGGAGTCTCAGAGCAGCTTACAAACTCCTTTCCCTTCCACTCCCCACAACAGACACCCTGTGAGGTAGACCGGGCTGAGAGAGCTCTGACAGAAACGGCTCTTTTTCAAGAACAGCTCTGACAGAACTGTGGCTCGCCCAAGGTCATCCAGCAGCTGCGAGTGGAGGAGTGGGGAATCAAACCCGGTTCTCCCAGATCAGAGTCAACGCACTTAACTACGACAGCAAAGAAAATTTAAATACCCCCCCAACTTAAAAACTCCTAGCTACAGCCCTGACCAGTGTTCCCTCTAAGCTGAGTTAGCATGAGCTAGCTCACAGTTTTTTAGCCTCCAGCTCACACATTTTCGTCTTAGCTCAGGAAAGATGGCTCTGGAGAAAACTAATTTATGCAACAGCCAAATCACTTGCTCACAGCTTTAATGCCAGTAACTCACAAAATAGAATTTTTGCTCACAAGACCACATCTTAGAGGGAACATTGGCTGACCCGATGGCACATTCCACACACGCACACGGATCCTCTGCTCCTGCCTCACACCAAGCCTCCCGAGTCACATGCTAGAACAACACGACCAGGAGGGCCCCGGGCACACAGAAAGAGCTCTGCTCAATCGCCACTAGCCATCGCTGGCATCGCCTCCGGGGCCTGCAGTGCCACAGGCCGAGCCCTTGCGACAGTGCCACGAGAGACTGACTCAGGCTTGGGCCCCAGGAGGGACTCAGGGCAACGGAAGCCCTCGAATTGGCCCCTCTCTGTTCTCTCCCCCACCGCCAGTATCTGCCCAGGGCCGGCTCCAAAGGGTGGCAAGGCTGAGCATTTGCTGGAGCGCCCCACCGTTCTGAGCGTGCTCAGAGGAGCCTCGGAGCTCTACAGTTCCACAAAGGGATTCGTGGTCTGTGCAGTCAAAAGTCAAGGAAGGCCCACGGAGGGTGCCTCATGTGAGGGGGGGGGGTCCTGACATTCTACAGCCATGCCAGCGCCCCGCCTGCCCGTCGGAACCAGTTTTGTGACCAACGCCAGCATTACCTCGTCATCCACACACCAGTTCCCGGTCTAGATGCTTTGCGCATGATGAGTACACGGCTAGCCACTGGTGAAGGAGCACCGGAATACTCCTTTGGCATTCTCCAGGGGTCTCTACAGCCCCCTCCAAAGGTCCCCAGGCAGTCAGGGAAGGTCATGGCCACTCACGTCCCTTGATGCAACCAAAGGCCAAACATAAGAACATAAGAGACGCCAATGTTGGGTCAGGCCAAAGGCCCATCCAGTCCAACACTCTGTGTCACACAGTGGCCAGAAATACCAGGTGCCCTCAGGAGGTCCACCAGTGGGGCCAGGACATTAGAAGCCCTCCCCTCACCTGTCACTGATGCTGCTTTCAATGGGATTCTTTAACAGGACTGTCGCAGAACCACCTTGCTGGATTCCACTGAGCCGATCTAGTCCAGCATTCCCCCCCCCCAATGCCTCGCTTGCGGTTGGTCCCCGCGCCTGACCATGGAGGTGCCATTCGTAAAGATCATGGTGCAAAGCCCTTGATAGCCCTCTTCTCTGGGAACTGGTCGCATCCTGCCTTGTTCAGGTGAGCCGCCTAGGCCAGCATCCTTCCTCTTGCACCAGCACCCCCAGCCCCCCCCCCCCGATCTCTGTGCCTGCCAGGCTCAGCTAGCAGAGGTTTGCTCCTGTTTGGCCCCCACAGCCGCTGTTCCTGCGGCAGCTACTCCTTTCTGACCGTGATGGGTCCCACCCTAGACAGCTGCATTGTGCAATCCAGATACGAGGGTACAGGCCACTTCGGCGTCACCCCTCTGCTCCAGGCAAGCCCGGGGCCCCGCTTCTGCGCTTTATGTAGCACACTGGCAGCGTGCGGGGCCATTCCCCACCCTGGTGTTTCCACCTACCCATCCGCTAGGCTTCTTTTACAGGCTGGGCATTAGCGTTGCCAACCTCCAGGTGGAACCTGGAGTTCTAGAATTACAACAGATCTCCAGATGACAGAGATCAGTTCACTTGGAAGAGATGGCTGCTCTGGTCAATAGACCTGCCGAGGTTCCTGTCAATGCTCCCTCTAAGCTGCGGAGCCTTGTGAGCAAAACCCCTGCTTTGTGAGCCTACTGGCGTTAAAGTTGTGAGCGAGCGATTGGGCTACTGCATAAATCAGTTTGCTCAGGAGCCCTCCTTCCCGAGCTGAGACAAAAATGTGTGAGCCAGAGGCTGGAAAACGGTGAGCTGGCTCACAGTAACTCAGCTGAGAGGGAACACTGCCCCAAATCTCCTGGAATTTCCCAAACGGAGCTGGCGCCGCAAGCCCTGGACGTAACATGCCCAGAGCCACCCAGCAGGTCCGTAGCTGAGACGGGAAGGGAGAGGGGGTCTTCACAGGGCGCCCCAGCCCAGCCCTTTCAGGGTCCAGAAAGCCAAGCTTGCCCGTGGCGGCTGCTGAAGCCCTGGGCAGCCCCCGTACTTCCCCGGGGAAGGAGGTCTTTGGCTCCCCAGGGAAGCAGCAGGAGGGCCCCGGAGCCTCCACACCACCACTGCCCGCTTCGGCCAGGGAGGACTGCGGACTGCGGCGGGGGGGGGGGGGTGTCCCTCGGCAATGTTCCCTCTAAGCCGAGGGAGCGTGCGCCAGCTCAGAGTGTTTTAGCCTCCGGCTCACCCATTTTTGCCTCCGCTCAGGAAGGCTGCGGCTGGAGTCCAGAGCCAACTCATGGATGCAGCAGCCGAGCGGCTCGCTCACAACTTTAACGCCAGGCGCTCACCCAGTAGAATCTTTGCTCACAGGACTGCACGGCTGCGAGGGAGCATGGGTCCTCGGCAATGTTCCCTCTAAGCTGTGGAGTCTTGTGAGCGAAAATCCTACTTTGTGAGCTACGGGCATTCAAGCTGTGAGCGAGCCATTTGGCTGCTGCATCAATTAGTTTGCGTTGAGGCCATCCTTCCTGAGCGGGAGCAAAAATCTGCGAGCTGGAGGCTCAAACACTGTGAGCTGGCTCACACCAACTCAGCTTAGAGGGAACACTGGTCCTCGGCGACAGGAAGCCAACCCCCCCCCCCCCCCCAAACACGCCCAGCCGGGCGCATCCTCATGCTCGCCGTCCGCAGCAAGGGCGGCTGCAGCTCCCCAGGAGGGAAAAATAGGGGAGGCGCGCCTGGATCGCTCGCCCGGCTTCTCCGCGGGGGGGGCTCGAGGGTCGGAACCCCCCCCTTTTTCCCCCCTTGCATGCACCGCGACCTCTCTGCTGGAGTCTCACACTCACCGCTCGCCCGGAGCCGCCGCGGGACTGCCTCGGGTTGGGCGCGGGTGGGAGGCGGGCGGGCTGCAGCCGGACGGCGAGGCGAGGCGAGGCGGAGGGCAGGTCCGGGGCTGCTGCCGCCTCTACATGGCTCGCCTGCTGCAAGGCGAGTGCGTGCGGCGAGAGGGGAGACCGTCCGGGGGCGCGCGCGGTCGCTCGCGG